GTCATAACAGCAAGAAACGTCCAGCTAGCACAGCTCAAGCTAAACCAGGTCATGCGCAACGTCAGTGGATGGATGAGCGATCACGGTCTGCAATTGGCTACAGCCAAAACAGCTCCTCACCAGGAAACGGATCCCAACAATTATAAACATGATGGTCGGACCTCAGCTCGTGACAACTTCTAGGTCTACAAAATACCTAGGGGTGAAGCTTGACAGCAAACTCACACTCTGGGAACACATCCATGGAGCATGTGAAAAAGCTGCGCAGAGCATGGTGGCTCTAAGCCGGCTAATGGCGAACGTGGGCGGCCCGAAACCATGCCCCAGAAAACTTCTGATGACAGCAGTCCAGTCGGCGCTGCTATACGGGGCAGAAATATGGGCCGACGCATTGAAAGTCAAAAAATACCGGATTCAAATGTCTTCGGTCCAGCGCAGCGGGGCACTACGCATTGCTTCTGCATACCGTACAGTGTTCGCAGCGCGGTTCTAGTTATTTCTGACGTCATGCCAATTGAGCTACTTGCTTACGAGCGAAAAGAGATTTACAATCTCAGTGAGATAGGTCGAGCAGCTGCTGCGCGAGAAACTAATCCAGAAGTGGCAACAAAACTGGAACGCGAGCACAAAAGGTCGATGGACGCACACCCTGATAGCCGACCTTCAAACATGGTCGAAGATAACGTGTACCACACATTCTTCACCTGCGAACACTTCTTGATTTCGCGCAGAATGCTGGAAGAAAGACACGGAGACATAACTCCGAACAACATAGTTGAGGTAATGATCTCCAGCGCAGAAAAGTGGGAAGCAGTTGCGAGATACGTGAAATTCGTACTCCGCTGCAAACGAGAGGACGGTTGTCTACTGAGGACACCCGAATGAAACGCACCTACAAAAGAGCAGCCCCAAGGCTCTAACAGCGCGCTCCTGCATCTGAAGACATGCAGAATCGCGGTGCCAGATGCGGGATTCTTGCTCGGGCGGTGGGAGTTTGGGTTTTAGTGGGTAGCCCAACACGCTTCGGTGGGAGTCCCACACTCGGGGAAGGTAGTATAGAGACTAGCGCCCCGGCCAGTGCATAAAGCATTTCCCTCTCCTACGAAAAAAAAAAATAACAATAATAATAATAATAATAATAATAATACTAATAATAATAATAATAATAATAATAATAATAATAATAATAATAATAATACATACATACGTTAGTGTTTGCCCGGGCTTCTCGCTCCGATTTGTGACGGGCGCCTTGATGTTGTCACACAAAAAGAACGGACTTACACTTTTACGCCGACTCCGAACAGCGGTTGTATTTTTTTGAGAAGCTGTTTTTCATGGCAGAAATTCTGAGGTTTACCATTGCCTGCCGAGGGGCGACCGGTATTAGACAAAAAACTTTTTTGTTACTTAATTTTTTCATGCTGGATTGAATCGAGCTTGCACCCAGGCCCTGCGGAGTGGTATTATATTGAGTAAAATACAAGAGATAAATAAGACTATTATGCGGAAGTATTTAAAAAAAATCAACTTAGCTCGAAAGTATTTACAATGGCTTTTCATTTGGTGTATGTACATATGTATGTCAGTCGAATCCATCGGTACACCGGTACACAATTTATTTAAATCGGACGCGGACCAAAAATATGTGGTAAAATTTAACAGACAAAAAATTCCCTATTTTTTCCTAGGTCACCTTAATGCACTTATTACAGTATTTTAAGACCTTCAAACAAAGAATCTTGTAAACGAATTAAAATATATTAATAATATAAAAATATAATAATAATAATATAAGTATACTTATGCATGTACCTACACACATACACACATATATATATATACATATATATATATATATACATACATACTTAGGCCCGTCGAGAAGGGGGTTAGGGGATTGTTTCCCCAGGTTTGCAGGGGCCTGATTTTTCGGAAATTAAGGTCGAAGATAAAAAATTTTAGATAAATTTTAGAAATAAACAAGTAAGAAAGTCTAAGTTCGGGCGGAGCCGAACATTAAATACCCGGCGCAAGTATTAAATATATGTTTTTCACCTTTCCGAAAGCTACCGCTACATGGTGCCGGGGTGTGTAAATTTTGAGTAAATTAGCGTCTTTAAATTTCGAAATATTGGCTGCGTTTCTTTATACATTCCGGATAATCCCATTTCACAGCCGGAATAAACAGAATGCTTTTGAAATATACGTTAACATATCATCAGGAACGTTCTAAAGAATAAGTACACAAAAAAGTTTATTCCAAACGTTCAGAATGAATAAAGAAATTCAGCCATTGAAGTTTCAAGCAGTTCTAAAATTTACCGTTATATGAAAATCGGCCGTAATTTTAGTCCGATTTCAATAATTTTCAATAGTTTGCTTTTATGTGGCAAGCGCAATAACCATGCCGAGTTTGGTATAAATTGGTAGAACGGTTACCGAGATATAAATATGTGATCATAAGTGGGCGGTGCTACGCCCATTTTCCAAAATTTTATAATAAACGTATTTCTTGGTAAAGAATTGTTGCAAGCATCAATTTTGAATAAATTAGCTTTAATATTTACTGATTTCTCGAAGATTTCGTATTTCTCTAAATTACCGTTATATGGGATGTGGGCGTGATTATTGTCCGATTTTAGAAATTTTCGGCCATTTCGTATGATATACCAAGGCCAGCAACTGTGCTAAGTGATAGATATACACATGTAACCATAAGTGGGCGTGGCCACGCCCATTTTCCAAAAATTTATAATATTCTTATTTCTCATCTAAAACTTATTATAAATATCAATTTTGAGTGAATAATCTTCAGTAGTTACTAAAATACCGTAGTTTTCGTATTTCTGAAAATTACCCTTATATGGGAGGTAGGCGTGGTTATTGTCAGATTTTGCCCATTTTCAATACCATCCGTCCTACGCTAGAAAGAAGTGCACGTACCAAGTTTCGTTAAGATATCTCAATTTTTACTCGAGTTATCATGTGCACATTTATCATTTTTGTATACATTTGTCTATATCTATCTCGATTCGTTTTGCCTGTTACAAACAACCGTTATGTGAACAAAGTTATAATACCCTTGTGCACAAGTGCGCTCGGGTATAAAAATGAATAAAAGTTGGGTTGCCGCATATATTTAATGAGACAAGTCTAGCTGTTAAATGTGGCTAAAGGAGACAGACAAAAGCAATGAAGTTCTGTTTATTGCTTGATCTCATTTAAGAGCGTGATTTTTTACGAAAATATTTGTTGGAACAATATCCGAATAGAGTGCGCACCTGTAAACAAAACAGCCAGCACTGGAGGGGCTGGTAGAAATAGATATGTATACATTAATATATATCTACACACATATACCTGCATACATGTGGAAATGCGTGTAGCACCTTTAACCAGTCTTGCCACAATGTTTTTTGTTTGTTACCAAAATCACCAGAAAAAGTTACCAAAATTACCAGAAAAAGTTACAAAATTCAACAAGAAATTACCAAAATTATTTAATGCCATCCAGCTTTGCACCATTGGATTTTTTTTCGAATGGCTGTAACCGGGAGAATAAACCCCAAATTCTGGAGCACTTGTCAACATTAATCCAGTTTTGGCCATGGTATCTTCGAATATGTATACTTCAACAGATCAAACTCTCCTAAGTTGCACACAAGTTTTCACTTTTGTTCATTTAGAAGAAAGTTGTATCTGCTCGGAGAGTTAGGCAACAGTGAGGGCTTTAGACGGCAACACATAAGCAATTCAAACAAGTATATACATAGAATTATACTCATATGGGTGCCCCTACACCGGGATTTTGATCGTTGCCCTTAAGTTTACATCGGTTATGGGCAGAGTAAAAGCTCTATCTTCCCATCGCTGGTTTAAATAGAAAATAAAAGTGATTCCCTATGAAAACGCTTTTGGCCCACTCCCTAATGTGGAACCAGAACGAGCCCGTATTTACCTACATATGTACATACATATCGTCGTTTAAAGTACAAAACCGCGTATCAACGAAATCCAAAACCGCGTATCAAGATAATGCAAAAGCGCGTATGTGAGGTTGCATAAATTATTTTCTAGAGAGTAAAAACACTCATATTTCTCTTTTTTATAAAGTAATCACATTTCGGGCTAGTATAGTTCAGGGCGAATGGATAAGGATTGAGCCAAGAGCTTGTGCGAGCAAATCCAATTTTTGGCAGCAAATATCAGTTACGCGGTTTTGTACTTTAAACGACGATATGTATGTGACAGAGCGATCTACTCGATTTAAGAAACATTTTAAACCGATTTGAAAAAGATACCAAACTCAAAAATAAATTACCAAATTAACAAATATGATAAAGAAAGAAAAAATGTACCAAGTTTGGTAAATAAACTAAAACGGCAACACTGTCTCGTTTGGTAAACTGGAGGAGCCCAGCGATCTTCCAGAGTTAAAAGAGAGTTGTGCTATTATTATTGGATTCTGCTCTTCGATCGGTGCTCTTAGTTTTAAGCAGGGAGTATTCCATATGATGTAATTCCAGTCAGAGAATTTGAATCATCAGCGAGTTTTTCAAGTGTCCTCTTCCAGTGCTGTGAGCTCCATTAAAAGGTATTCGCACGAGGCGATTTTGCGTTCAACTCACGCAGGGTTGCACGTAAAAAAAGTTGAATGGCTGAATGTTGGCTGGCGACCAACTTTGTTGAAAGCGATTTGTTGAAAGGCCGTTCAACCAAAAGTAGAATGCAAAGTCGAACAATGCAAACGCCTTTTTATGGCGAATATTTTGATATATTCTTATATTTTGATATTTTTAGACATTCAATTTTTTTCGTGCAACCTTGCGTGAGTTGAACGCAAAAGTTGCCTGAAAAATCGCTTCGTGCGAAAGCCTCATTACTCCAATATTCCAACAGCATATCTATACATTTGTATGCACAAATGTTCATATGTATGTACACTATTTACTGTGCCTACTCCGAAGAGGCAGTGAGCTTGTTTGGAAATAAAGTAGAGTTTAGTCATCTTGGAAGCGTCGATCGTTCTGGTTGTGTACAGCGCGTTGAGACGTTCTTTTGTGATTTTTTTTTTGCTTTCTTTTGCGACGTCAGTTGCACTTGCGACTACTTTCCTCGGCAAAGAGGCAGAAGCAAAGCAACAACTTGAAATTATGAACTTGTTGGCCACTTTTACATTGCAACAATAACCGACAACAAACGATTGCAATTGCAACAAGTGCAAAGTGAGGTGCGTGTCAACTGGCAAAGCCAAAGTGTTAATGTACATACTTATACACGTAGTATAAGTATATTCATACAGTTACACATATACATACACACATATTTATATATATATATAACACGTATGTTTGCATGCATATATGCTATATACTTATGTAGCATGTGCGTATACGAGTTTTACTTGCGAGCAACAGTTGCGGAGCAGGTCGTCGATTGCTAGTCACACATCCACATCAGTAAATTTAAAGTTACACCTATGCATGCACATGTATGGATATAAGTATGTGCATATGTACATATTTATCTACGTACATATGAGGGTATTTTGCTCGACAGTGTATTTTCTGTGTTTGTGTTTATGCTGAGTGTTTAAATTGCGATGTTGATCTTTCTTGTGTCGCTTTTGGCATTTGTTTTCTCCATTCTTTATCACGTTCTTAACTCTGCGAAAAGCTAAAAGTCGAAGTAAATTAAACTATACGTATCAACGATTCTAAGTGATTAGCTCATAAGTACCTCGTACATGAATTACATACAAATCTATATATGTACATATGTATGCACATGCAGTACATGTGAAAAAATACGCTTCATTGTTCTGTGAGTTAACTATTATGTGCATAAAGTTTGACAATTTAAAATTCTGCCGCATCAAATTGAAAAACGCTGACGGTGATACTTTTTAAAGTTTCGAATAACTAGTTAGTCAAATATGTATACATTTTTATATACATACATACATTGAAGCTGGCAATAAAAAATTAATGCGTGTGCTGTATTTGTGTTAACCTCTTCTACGTGTTTTTTCGTATTGTCTGTCACTTCGTTGCTGACTACGATTTGTGAAAGTGTTCGTAACCGAATCGGAATTAAGGTCTTTTATTGTTTAAATTGGAATTGCAGAAAAATGGAAAACGCAAAACAAAAAATTAAATAATTTCAAAATTAAGGGCAAACACAAAAAGAGTGAGTAAAATATATCAATCTACCTTTGTTTCGAAAGTGTTTGTTTTCACTTTTGGAGTTGTCTAAACGTTAACCATTAAGAAAATCAAAAACTTCGAATGGCACAAAAGAAGAACAGACTGCCAAGAAACATATGTATACACATGCATGTGTACATATGTAAAAGCGATAAACTAAAAGGCTTACTATTGTTATGGCTATTTACATATATACATACACCTTTAAATTTATTGAAAAATTAATCCATATGAATACACATTTATGTTTGTATATGATATGTATTAACATACATACATACAGTATCGGTCATATCTATAGCACGCCATTTCGAAGTGATATTGTTTGCAACTAATGTTTATTTTTGAGAATTTTCAATTAAAATACAGTTCTTTTTCTAACAAACCCCATATAAACCCAAGTTTAACAATTTGTAGAAAACTTCAAAAAAGTGTAACAAATTTTCACCTAAGTTTCAAACTTTTTTCTCGGAAGTGTTAGAATTTTTTCGAGTACACAGTTTTTTAGCCTAATCAATTTTAGTCTGATAATGTGCAAGTTTCAAGTGAATTTTTTTCGCCAAAGGTGCTGCGGTTTTCATCCATATACAAATAAATTGAGTTTATTCATTATATAGAAGCCAATGCGACAAAAAAAATTCTAAAAAATTAACGGCAATTCGTAGCCACTTGAAATTTGCACGTTGTCAGACTAAAATAGCAGTGGCTAAAAAACTGTACTCGAAAAAATTCTAACACTTCCGAGAAAAAAGTTTGAAACTTAGGTGAAAATTTGTTGCACTTTTTTGAAGTTTTCTACAAATTGTTAAACTTGGGTTTATATGGGGTTTGTTAGAGAATAAACTGTATTTTAATTGCAAATTCTTAAAAATAAATAAATAAACATAAGTGGCACACAATATCACTTTGAAATGGCATGCTATAGATATGACCGATACTGTACATATGTACATTAGAGTGGTCCAAGAAATCCTTTTTTTTATATTACTCAGTGCTCACGCAAATTTGTGTTCCTATTTAAAAGAATTAAAAAACATAAATTGATAACAAAAAAAAAACAAAAAATTTAGAGGTCGCTCAAGTCCATGTTGTTTTATACAAAATTGCTCGTCCTTCAATCCGAGCGCACGCGAAATACCTCAGGAAATTTAAGTTTTGCAAGATCTTATAATATGTTTTCGAGGTCGCTGAATATACTAGGAAAGTTACTTTTTGCTCAGGCCTCTCAGGATTACTATACATATAATAAAAATGTAACAGACCGATGTCTGTACATTATAGATATTAACAATTAATTACAAGGTTCTTAGAGCGAGCATCATTATACCAAAAGTAAAAAAAAAATATTCAAAAGTTGTTTTGGGTAGCTATTAGGGCTACCTCAAATTTGTGCAATATATTGTACAAAAGTCCGCAAAGGAGTAAAAGCACTCAAGAAAACTCAATAAATATTTCACTAAGTTTGACGGAATAAAACTTTTATTTCATTATATTTAGTTAAGATTTGCATTAAAACATTTTAAATTTTCTCCATAAGAAGAGAATTATATAAAGAAATTTTGAAAAATTTCAGGTACAATTACAATATAAAATGCAAATGACCCGTTTTAATAAACCTTCCCGGTTTTTCTGCCTTCAGTAGATCAAGAAATCAAAAACCCACCCTTTACTGCCACAACAGCGCACAAGCTCTTCAAAAACCACGGCTAAAACCACTCTAATTATCTGTTCACCTGCAACCTTTGCGGACGTTTGTACAATATTTGACCACTCGGGAAAAATATTTTAAATCATGATAGTTTAATTTTAGCATTTTTATATGATGAAATACTTTTTATATTTCCATACTATGTGCTTTTATTAGCGATTTTACTTGACTTTCACGTATTTTTTGTACAGTGAATTACCACAACTTGCGTGTCACTGGAATTTTATAAAATGGTCTATTTTTAAATTGAATTCTAAAAATATTTTTGAAACGTTTTCGATTTCGAAATTTACGTAAACTATTCGGGACATTCCAAAACTTCGTAAAGTTTAATTTGTTTTAAAAAATATTAATAAGATTTTTAGTAGCCCGCTTCCAGTGTTACACAAAATTAAATGTACAATATATTGTACAAATGCAGGGAAAAGGTTAAAGAAAAATTAGTATGTAGGGTCTTTATTAGAGCAATAGAAGCCAAATCAACAGTTTTTAGAACTTTTGTCTGTCTTATGTTTGTACGCGCATCACTCGAGAACTAATGCATGAAATTCAATTCAGTCTGCACCGATGCACTGCTTTAAAATATAGACAGAAAAAATAGAGTACCTGTTTGAAAACTGCAGTTTAAGTAAAGTGATAAGATCAAGTAAATATTGCATTAAGGCTGTCAAAAGAAAGAGGTTTAAGAAGGCGTACACCTGAAGATATTTTTGTGGAGGTTGCCACATTTTTTGAAAATTTTAATATAATTCAGTTGATAAGATAAATTAAATACTGCAGTATGGGTATCAAACTGAAGAGGTTTAGGAAGTTTAGAAAAAATCAATTTGATTTTATGTCAAAGTCGATAATTATAGCCACATCTTTAGCTAACAAAATGAGTAATCGCAGAGAATTTTACGTTCAACACTTCTTGAATTATCGGCAAGTGTTTGTATCGGAAGTTGCTGAATTTAGATGTGTGGGTGATACATGTATTTAGAGAACCAGTACGGTTTAAATTATCGGGCTTTGCAAGACTTTCTGAGGTGTTATCTGATGTTTTCAAGGACACTGAGAGTGCTTAACTAACTTTTTTGCTATGTCTCAAATCTTGGAAAACAACTTAAAAAAACTTAACAAATATGAAAAAAACAGAACAAGATTCTCCATTACTGAAGAGGTTAGAACAATATTTTTTAATATCATTCAGGCTCAGGCAAATTTGTGACCCTTCTGCTAAAAATTGCCCTAACATGATTAAAAAAGTTTGGAAGGTCGCCCAAGTCCATTTTTTACACAAAATGTTATTTCCCTAAGTTTTTAATTATTTCAATCAGGACTGCAGCAGAAAAGATTAATGACAGTGAAGTGATGCCCAAAATAATATTTTATTTTCCAATATTAAAACAAATTGCAAGACATCTTAAATTATGTTAACGCTGTTCGAATGCAACTTTGAGGGCTGTTCTCCAATTCAGTTTGAGTGTGAGCGGTGTTTATACATTCTTTCTAACTGTCCGGAAAAGAGCAAAACAATTAAAAGGGAAAGCATTTAATTTTAAACTTTAAAGTTTTGAAATACCACAAATAAACAGTCGAACACGTAAAAAATTAGCGAAGTTCCATACATATGTACACAATCAAAAGTTTACCGATCGAATATGTATAGGAACCTTGCAATATATCTATGGAATAGAGTCTGAATTCTGAGTAATAATCAGTTCGGTACGAGATTTGACTCAGAAACAAAAAAAAAAGAGCAAAAATTTCGAATGAAATTTCCAAGTTTAACTTCAAAATCCTTATGATTTGGCTTCCAAAGGGCTTAGAGAATTCTACCACAACGTACTTGTTGTTCGAGAGATAGAAAATTGTGGGAAGGATGCACAGCTGCAAGCAAATCATAAAAAATGACTCTGGGAGTTTGCATGGTTTTTCATTTTTAAACAGTGGGATTGTGTTTCTCGTTTCAAAATCTATAAAATATAAAAATATAAAAAAAAAATTATTTTTGCATGTTTTTTTCCAAAGAACACTATTTTTGGCAATTTTTTTTTAAGTCCAATGAGTAATTATGGCTAAATGGCAATATTATTCCGGAATTACATTAGATTCCGAAACCATTTTGTTTGATATATAAATGTGCTTCGGTAGAGTTTATTCAAAAATCACTCAAGTTATCATTTCGCTGTTTTCGACAGTTATTTCTTGGAATAATATCCCAAGCTTGCTTTACATTTAAAAAAAATTACACCTTTCTCAGAGAGAATTTTTGATAACATATCGACGCCTGATTGCGATTTTATCGTAAGCGGCAAAATGAAAATTTTACAG